GAAGAAGCTGCGTATGGACCTTGAGAGAGCCAAGAGGAAGCTCGAGGGTGATCTGAAATTGGCCCAGGAATCCATCATGGATCTTGAGAACGACAAGCAGCAGTCTGATGAGAAAATGAAAAAGTATATGTATTCTTTTACTTAGTCCAACAACGATTCTTGTAAAAAATTATACTCAAATACATGAACTCTGTCTATTCTATCTACTATTTTCACAGGAAGGACTTTGAAATCAGTCAGCTCCTGAGCAAGATTGAAGATGAGCAGTCAATGGGTGCTCAGCTCCTGAAGAAGATTAAGGAGCTTCAGGTGACATATTGTGCTAAAACATCACTGCATAGTTTACATTTCCTGTGTTGTGTATTAAAAGTGGAAGTTTACTGAAAGACATTACACCTACATTCAACAGGCCCGTATTAAGGAACTGGAGGAGGAGATTGAGGCTGAGCGTGCTGCTCGTGCCAAGGTTGAGAAGCAGAGAGCTGACCTCTCCAGGGAACTTGAGGAGATCAGCGAGAGGCTGGAAGAGGCCGGTGGTGCTACTGCTGCTCAGATTGAGATGAACAAGAAGCGTGAAGCTGAGTTCCAGAAGCTCCGTCGTGACCTTGAGGAGTCCACTCTGCAGCACGAAGCCACTGCTGCTGCTCTTCGCAAGAAGCAGGCTGACAGCGTTGCTGAGCTGGGAGAGCAGATCGACAACCTCCAGCATGTTAAGCAGAAGCTTGAGAAGGAAAAGAGTGAATACAAGATGGAGATTGACGACCTCTCCAGCAACATGGAGAATGTTGCAAAAGCAAAGGTGTGCAATGCATTGCATGCTATTTTAATACCCAAATTAGTACAGTAAATAAGGTAATCAATATTATAGCCAAAGTAAAATCTGATCACTGATCTCATCTCTCTTTTCCTCATCAGGGAAATCTTGAAAAAATGTGCCGCACTCTTGAGGACCAACTTAGTGAACTAAAGACCAAGAATGATGAAAACGTCCGTCAAATCAATGACACAAGTGCACAGAAAGCACGTCTCCTAACAGAAAATGGTATCTACAAGTTATCAGTGAATGATCTTTTGTGTGTCATTAAGAAACAAAACACAAACTAATGGTATCATGGCATCTCTTACACAAGGTGAGTTCAGCCGTCAGATTGAGGAGAAAGAAGCGCTTGTCTCCCAGCTGACCAGAGACAAACAAGCCTTCACACAGCAGATTGAGGAGCTGAAGAGACAGATTGAGGAGGAGGTTAAGGTAGGAAACTGTTCAGTAAGTGTGTATTGGTATATATGTTTGAGATTAAGGAATTTTGCATATTCAATAATATTTTTTACACCAGGCCAAGAATACTCTTGCCCATGGCCTGCACTCAGCCCGTCACGACTATGATCTGCTGAGGGAGCAGTTTGAGGAGGAGCGGGAGGCCAAGGCTGAGCTGCAGCGTTGAATGTCCAAGGCCAACAGTGAGGTGGCACAGTGGAGTTCAAAGTATGAAACCGATGCTATCCAGCGCACTGAGGAGCTTGAGGAAGCCAAGTGAGTAACATTCATACAATTGAATGGCCAGTTCAGAAGTGTTTCATTTTGGCATAAGTCAGCTGACAACTGCACTGCTAACATTAAAACTTGCATTTAAATAAATGTTTCCAAAATATTTTTATTTCCTAATCCAACACCTGTTTAAGAATAAAATGAAAAATAATCCCTACCATCAGAACATTAAGCCTGGGCAGAACACCAGTGTTACATCTGTAACACCAGTAGCTCCATTCAAATAGAATATTCCCTCTTCCCACTGGGGCCAAATGGATTCAGCTACCTGTTACATAATGTGTTCAGAGCTCACATTGTAAATTCTTGTTACTGAGGCGTCAAGTAATCAAACCGTTCATTGGGAGAAAAATCTTGCCTTTTCCAAACAGGAAGAAGCTGGCCCAGCGCCTTCAGGAGGCTGAGGAGCAGATTGAGGCAGTGAACTCAAAGTGTGCCTCTCTTGAGAAGACCAAACAGAGGCTCCAGAGTGAGGTGGAGGACCTCATGATTGATGTGGAGAGGGCCAATGGGCTGGCTGCCAACCTGGACAAGAAGCAGAGGAACTTTGACAAGGTAGCATTGTTTACTTTATATGGC